GTATAGGTCCATGGGCAATAGCTCTTGTACAGTGTCGCACACAAGGGGGGGTCCTGGGGGTCCGGACCCCCCCAAAGCCCTTGATTTTTTTCCCGATTGATTATAATTCTAAGTATATATTACGTAAAATTTAATTACTTGTTATTAATGATTAATTTTATTAATTAATGCTGATTATTTATTCAAAAATTAGTTTTTTACTGTGTTTTGTTCCCAAAAATCAACAAAATCAAAGGGAGCATGATACAAGAATGGTGAACTTTCGACCCCGGACCCCCCTCTTGAAAAATTCCTGTGTGCACTACTGCTATTGTGTTGTTTCAGAGCGTGACGTAATTTAAAATCAATCAACCAAGTTCGTTTGGTCATGATCGTGCCATTATCGATTTTTTGACACGTGCTGGTTAGCGTTTATTTTTTATACAATGCATAACATGATCTCCTCAGAAACAATTAACAATAAAATACGATTTTCCGAATGAGAAACTCGCTGCGTAGTTTTTCTTTTATAGAGTGCTTGAAACGTCCTTTCTCCGTCCTACATTGTTCGTTCACACTTAAATGTAAATTATTTGTACATCCCAACATCTTGCTTTAACACGAATTTGACACGTATCTTCCTTTATTTATGATACAGTAATTTTTTAATGTCCAGTAGTGTATTTATACCGGACCACATTGTCACTACAACGAAGTTCATTTACCATCATAATCTTACTGTGTGTGTGTGAATATTTATTCCATTTATATGAGTTCTGTTATAAAATACCTACAATACTTTTTTCTAACTTTTTAAAATGTCTGTTCATTTTATGCAACTTGTCCATATTTTCCTAATTGTTATACAATTCTATATTGCTGTCTCACATTTGAATTATGTTATTCGACTTACCTAGTTTGATTTCTGAGCAAGATACTATATTACTATAAATATTATGTATTTTTTATAAGTAAATAAGTCTTTGGAATGCTGGGGACAGGTCTTTCCCAAAAAGGGAGCAATTTTTGTCATCAAACACTTGATGGGGAATCCTTGGGTTATTTCCTAATAGTCTTCTTGCAAATTTCTGTGCCTTGCTAATTTCAGCCATTTTTTAAGGAAATGAACCACTGTTATAGGATAAGAAAACAATTAACTTCGTTACCACAGTAGTTTTCATGGTTGTCCTCCTTCATGTAGTGTAAGCGTGATGCGGTTTTTTTTATTAAGTGTCCTCTAGAAAGTCATCCTTACCATTTCGTCTCTGGGACTTTTTGTTGAATTTTGATGCTGACAGTTGCCATTAAAGTAAAGTTTAAAAGTATTACATTAATCAAAGGACTATCAAAGACTAAAAAAATATGAATATGTATCATTTCTTGCATATCTATCTACAACTATAAATCATCCATAGACTTTGAAACTTAAAAATGCTAAAAAACACTCGACAAGTAAGTACGAATGAGAGATTAAATTTATATCCTTTAATGATAGCCAAAGCGCATAAATTATACAAAAACTCACAGACAAACATGATATCCTTTTTTTTACTTCCGAGTTCCAAGAGACTGATGTATCGGTTTTTTTAAGGCTTTCTCTGCCAAAATTTTTTACTGAATTTGCTCCTGCAGTTGAACATTGATTATCTACGTGAAGAGTAATGACGCCAGGAATCGATTATGCTCACGGATGAAATGTAAAGAGATCATCACCCTCCTCTAAAGGGGGAGCTGATACAATACTACGATTAACTTCAGTAATTTATTATTGACTTTTAATCATTTTTTTTACTTAAGTACGATTAAATTGTTATTTTATCCACGGTATCGCAGCATTACTAAGAAAAAAACTAATGAGAGATAACAGATTTACTTTTTATAATACTTGAAAAGTAAAATTTTGTGTTATTCTAATAGATGTATATATAAAGTCTTGGTTGTATTTATGCCGAGTAAACGTTGAAAAATGTCTTTGAGCTCAAGTGAGTAAAGTATTTAATCCGTAGAAATTAAGTATAGTAGTAGTTAAAAGCTATTTTTTTCGGCTTTGTGTAGAAGAAAGATTTAAAAAAGAACAAGTTGTGTTTTAATTCAATGTAAATGCTTGTGAATTTATATTCGTTAAGTATATAGGCTCCTTGATCTTATACATTTTTCAATCGTTTTAAAGTGTCGTTAAGAAAGGGGTGATTTATACTTAATTAACTTTCCAAAATTGAGTTATTCATTTTGAAACTATAATTTTTTAGCTATTTCTCGATCATCCATGAAAGTGCAGTCCTCACGCCCCCACTATAATACATCCGATTTTGCCGGCTTTGTTTCTTCCCAAAAATTTACGTAACACAGATTTTAGACATTGAATCTTTCCAAGTTTTCTTCAAATTTTCATTATCTATTTGTTAAAAGTTCACATGAAAGAAATAAAAAGGTTTTACCCGCATTTTTAATTGTATGTAATTTGTTTATCTTTTGGCAATTTTTTTAAAGTTAAGCTAGTATTAAAATGATCCTTTTAAATTAGGACCCGCATAAAAATAGTGACTACTGGGCTCATTTCTGCTTAAAAGAATAATCAGAAATAGACAAAAACGAATATTATGTATATTTCTAGGAAAAACATAAAATAATTAAAATATTTATATTAAAATTTATGTGAGAACATTGGAAAAGCTGCAGTATTTGAGTTGAAAAAGAAAAATGTATTATATCAATCAGAAAATAATACTTTTTTGGGAATTTACTTAATATGGGGTATTATTGGGAGTCTAGTACGATAAAATACAGGAACATTATCTACTACAGTACAAATTAGCATTAAGATCATCATGTGTGTGAGGGGGGGAGGACGAGTCTAGGTTTCGAAATGCTACTTCTAAAAGTCGCCTCGCTGGAGAGTCGAGATTTCGAGCATCGATTCACTTGAAGACTGATGTATGAAACAATGAGTGGAAGGGTTAAGGAATGGCACTGACAGCAGTGCCATCCAAATCTGATTGAGACTTAAAATTACGAGACTAGTCTCCAATAGCTTAATTCAACATAAGATTGATTAAAATCCAGCTTTTAAGCAAATTAATTACACACTTTTCAACAGTTTCAGATCGATGATACTCAACGCTTACTTATTTTTTAAAAAAGCTTTTATTTAACTTGCAATGTAATTTATTCGGGTGGAATCTTGCGTATCAATTTTGAAGCTGGTGTATTCAACCGGTTGAGCTGAAATTTTGTATACACGCTTAGTTTGGATGACAATGCATGTTTTGGCTATTTATATTCCGATATCTCAATTAGTTAAAAATATATTAATTAAAAATATTTTACCCCGGTTAGCTTTTTATTCTGCCGAGCAGCTTATCAGATTGAGCTTAAAGAAGTTCCGATTTTTCGACCTTTTTAAAAAACCATCTTATTATTTCTATCAAACTGAGACAAAACATATTTACATAATCGGAAAGATAATTTATTTCGCCACGATACGGTATAATTCTTTTTTAAAAATAATGATATTTACCATTTTTTACGATTTTTTCTAAAATGAGTCAAAATGGATGCTTTTTCAGGAAAATGATTTTTAAATCATTCCATTTGAATTTGTTTTCGTGTTAAAGAATCGATATTCTGCACTGACAAAGTTCGGGCTTTTCTCTTTTAGAATCAGTCATTTAAAAAATAAAATACCAAAAACTTTTTTTTTACGATTTTTCAAAAAATACTCAAATTTTTAATAAAACATTTAAAAACTTCGTCATTTTTAAAGATAATCACACTAAACTTTTTTTCGTTTGTAGAATAATATTATCCAAATTTTGCACAAAGCTTGAAAAAATTGGTTTAAAATTACGGATTTTAAAAAATTTGTTATGTTTTTCGTTTTTAATATAGTATTATAGTAAAAGCAAAAAAAAAATGAGTATTAATATTTTGATTAATTTTGCTTTGTCCAATGTTGTTTTGTTCCTAATGTATTTATCCCCCCATTATCCTCTAGTTGCGTTCCGAGTGAAATATCTATCGTATGTACCTGGCCTTGCGGGAAAAAAGATTGAGTACCACTGAGCTAGCCTGTTAAAAATTAACCGGCAAACGACCTTGCAACAATGATGTGTTGAATGTGATGAGCAAATTGAGAAACCTGTCCAGCGATAACTAAAAAGTAAAAAATAAATTATAAGTAAAAATTTTTTTAAAAAACAAGCTTTTATTTACATGCTCTAAAAAGAATAAAATAAACTTTTCTTTTAAAACTTTTTTGCTATCAACTTTTAACGTCATTTCACAATTTATGATATAAAAGCTCTTGTCGCGAGATTTATCTGTGTAGATAAGCAAGCAAGCAAATTAAAAATTACTTTATCTGATTGATTTTAATTTTTAAAATTTTCAAACTAAGTAAATACGAGTACTTAAATTTCACCACAAGCTTTTATTATTATTTCTTTTTGGAGCACGAATTGAATGACTTTTTTTTACCCGAATTCTTCGTTCTAGCACGAAAACTTGGGCGATTGATTGCGTTTTGGACAGCTTATAATAATAAGGAAGTCGATAATGAATTTCAGCAATTAAAAACAAATGATTTAATTCAATTCACGAGGGCTTGAAATTAGCTTCAAGTATGGAAAAAGCTTATTTTCATGATCCTGATATAGATGGTACATTAAAATTTAACATAATCTTTAGTTTTGTGTAGCAGGATATCAAGAATATATTAGCAACTTGAGAAACCGAAAAAAAGGTACAATATAAAAAAAGTATAATACAATTCCTACTTAGGTAGACAAAGAAAAATTTTATTTTAGTTACTTTTTTTAATAATTACAATTAATATAAATATGTATGTTAATGTGACAGAATCACAACATTAAGTGGCAAAATAGAAAGCAATTTTCCTTGCAATTTTCCTTTCTGTATAGGGTGTTGAATTATTATTTGTTTGTTACTATTTATTCATTAATTAAAGTTAATTGTTCTAATAAAATAGTATAGTAAAAAAGAAATATTCTCAGAAATCAGGCCATCCCCGGTGGGATTCCATTCCACGACCTTTCGATTAGAAGTCCAACGTGATATACATTTCTCTACAGGGACTCAACGAATGATTTTCCTTTCTATATATGCTGATGGACAATTATTTTTGTTACTATTTATTATTTTTTTAATTTAATTAATTAATTAATATTTGAAAAAATGTATTAACATCAAGAGCTCTCTACTACATGTTTAAAAAAATGTATTTGAACTTGAATGGATGAACAGAAAGTATTTTATTAACGACTGAAAATTTGAATAAGATACATAGGGAGAGAGTGAATTATATAATCGTATGAATTGTGAAAAAAGCACTAATAACATATTTTGCAACAACAAAGAAACCCGACAAAGACCGTTAATGACACAAGAAATTCTTAGTTTGAATCAAAACCGACGGTGGTGCTAGACATATCTCACACGTCTACTGATGATAGCTTTTTTTTATCCAGTTCGTAATAAATGTGCACGCTTGTTATATCAAGTACTGATGGATAGTTTGCGGTTTTATTCCTAATTACAATTTGAATATTTATATGTTGTATGTACTTAAAGTCTGAATTTTCATTGTACCTCCTAATTTTAACTTTTTTTAAAAATAAAAATATATTGCTTTTGTTTTATAAGTATATAACATGGATTTCGTTCTTTCTTTTTTTTTTTTTTTTTGCACAGTTTTTTTGGGAAAATATTTAGATTTTTCATCTTATATATATACTCGATTTTTTAAAGTTGTGGAATTTATCACCAAATTTGCCATAAGTTTTTTCCAGTTTTTCTAAGAAACATATTTACCGTGAAAATCAGGTTTGGGTGTATTTATTTTCTACTGCTCTTATCGCCGTAAAATCTGGCGTATAACGTGCACCCATACTTTCAAGGTGCATTTTTTAATTTTTTATGTATATTCGCTGTATAACGTGCACATTTTTTATGAAGAAACCTGAAACGTATGTGCGCAATGCTCTTATGTTTTGAAGCCATTTTTTTCGAGGTATTACTCCAAGTGTTAGAAAAAATAGTATATTTCTAGAACTACAACCCTTAAGTTTATAAGGAATGTCATTTTTTTAAATAAACAGTATTTCGATCAATGTGAATAAGTCTAATTTTTTTCTATGTCCATCAAATTTATTTTTAAAGCTCTCATTTTTATACCCGGCATATAATTTGCGTACCCATAAATTTCAATGTTATTGTTTGTGTTCAAAGTACGCATTTTACGCTGTATTGTACGGTATAAGTTTGCTCAAGAAATAAAACGCTGCAAACAATTCACATTGTTGATGTGTACTTGATGTATTTTCCTAATCTTGGTAAATTCTCCCTTTATAAGCACTATTTAAGAAAAATTAAGAGCCAAGAGTCTCCCGACCCCTAATCTCAGTTTTTCCTAGTGATTGCGGTAGCCGAGTGGTCAAGGTATAGGATCATGGCTGACCTTGTCACGAGTTCGAGTCTAGTACCACTAATGACCCGCCGTGTAGGGGAGCGATGCACGTTAAATCTGTCGAGAGCTCAAACATCCTCCCTTTGGTGTGATGTAATAGTTAGAAGAGAGGGTACCAACTCGGGTGTCGTCCACATCACTTGACCATGGTTCAAAATTACGTGATAAGTCACCAAAAGCCCTCGTGTAGCTAAACAGTGTGACGTTAATATTCACTCACTCACTCAGTTTTTCATAAACATTACTTTAATAAGTCTTCGGGCAGCTAACCCCAGATTAAAAGCACCGATCAGTCATTAGAAGCCTCTCGCTTCACTCCAGAAACCTTGAAATCTTATCTAGCTCAGCATCTGGGTTTGTTTCATAGTTCTCTACCTATCGTTTCAAATTATAAATCGATTTTTTTTTATCTCTTTGCCGTCATTAGTTGAGTTTCTTATTTGCTCTGGCGTGATTTGCCTTCCTAGAATAAATAAAACTACACTGCGTTAATAAAGAGAGAATGTGGTGGAAGGAAAAAACTGTGTCAATAAATTGCGGTGGAGAAACTTAATAAGTTCTCCAGGAGCTCATTTGTTATGTTACTGTTCTTTGGAGCAAATTCGCTACAGATTGGAGATGATGGAATGAATGAATTGAAAATGTTCCCTGAGAAATTTCTGTGGCATTAATTGTTAAAAATGTTTACAAATCTCAGAGAAAAATAAGAGTTGGTTTAATTTTGGTTAAGAAATCTGTGTGTGAATCGTATTGTTTGTGGAAATCGAATTGTGTTTTTTTAGAATGATGGGAGCCCTTTTCTGCGAGATTTTTGAAAAATATAAGACTTGAGAATTTAATTAAAGTTTATTAAAAGTAGAGGAGGAGGGAAAAAATACATTGATTCTTTATTGGATTTTTATATTTAATAAAATGTGCAGTTTTTAAGAAAGTCTTAATTTACTACATCGATTTAGTTCAACGAGATACGACTTAAAACATTTTTTATATTACGTTGTTCTGTGTATCTCGTTAAATGAGTACCTTTATTAAACTTAGATACTATGCATATTGAAAAATATAATAATTTTGATTAATTTTAATGGCTGACAGTGACGCATTTTAATATCAAACATTATACTCTAGTAAAAAAAAATACTTCTTGGTAAGACTTAAAAATAAATAGAGTAACAGAATTAAAGTATGGTGATATTTTAGGAAACTGTTGAAAAGCTGTGGATTTTTTTTTTCTAAATAAGATTGAGGCTCCAAATTAAAGAGTTAAAATTTTGCTTCAGTACTGTGTGATGGGCTCACGCATCTTTTCTTTAACATGTCCTTTGGGTTCTTGGGGCCCGAATTAATGGCAATTTGTGGCAAGAGATGGCAATTAAAGGAATGTAAACAGTCCGTGGTTCTAGATTGAAGAAGTTTTAGATAACATTACGTGGTGAAGAATAGTAATTATACGTGATAGAGATCCATTAATCAAGGGGCATACCATTGCACACGAGTTATCGCAAGACCTCATCTAAAACTAGTGTGATCGTTTACTGATACTACAACACAAGGTCGGTTTGATTATTTAATATTAGGATCAGTGATTATATTAGAATTGAGTGTAAGCGATTCAGTTATTGATAGTGGTCCGAGTTAGGTTAAATCCTTATTATAAATATATTGTGTGTGGTGTGTTTTACCATCTCGTAGATTCTCTCACGTAAATTATTATCTAATTTGTTAAAGGTTTAAGTTGAATATCTTAAAGTCCTATTAAGATAATGTTTCCTTCTAGTTCTTTCGTTAATCCTATGCCTCTAGCTCACGCTATACTCAAAGAGATAATTACCCTAGGGGGGGGATTATCGCAACTGTTATTAACTAAAAGAAGCTATCAAGCTAAAGTAACTTTAAAAATTCAAAACCCTTTTTTTATATACTACCTCTTGTGGCGAATTGTTGATAAAGATCTAGTCCGCGGATTGTAACCTAAAAGAAAAAAAAATTAAGAATTCCCGTGAAAAAAAAAATAAAATTCCGGAGCTATACATTAAAAATTGATATTCTCAGCCTGTGTGATGAATAGTGTTTATTATGATTTAAAAGTTATCTAAATGCATATGAACAACTTAATATGTGTGAACTCACAGAGAGAACTATAAATGTTTATAAGCAAATGTTTTCTCAAAATTTTTTGTCATTTTACCTATGTTTCCATAAAAATGACTATCATTTAAACGGAAGTGATTTGTTTTTTTTATACAGGATTTTTACACTGTTACTAGGTTATTTTGTTGTTCGATAAAAATGAAGAAATTTTTTGAGAGAAACAAGCAGTACATAAATTATTTTTGAAGTGCGTAATAACCAATAAAAATACTAAAATATATAGATGAGACTAATATATCGCGAAAAAATTAAAAGGGCTTTTTCTAGATAAATAATGCATTCTTGAATCGTATATGTCCTATTTATATTTGATTTAATGAAAATAGGGAAACTTGTAAACAAGATTACACACATAAATTTAAAAGATGCATTGTAACCAAAGGTTGAATTGTAGGATGGAATACTAATTTAAGCCTTACCGCAATGTGTGGATCAATTTCATAAGATACCAAGCATTTTAAAGAAAATCTCCATTATATTAATCTGTAATCTTTTTAGTCCATCCAACTTTGTAATCTTTTGAAAACAGTACACGTTTTAAAACATGTCTTAGACACGTTTTTTTTTTTTTTTTTTTTTTTGAGTTATTGAATTTTTAGAGAGAATAAATATATCTTGTTAAAGTGAGAGCAGTTTGACTATGTGAAAGGTACGAGCAAAATTCATTAAAAAACGCAAACAAAATTCATTGAAAAAACAAACTGCTAATTATCATCAAAACTCCGAAATCGTGAAAAAGTAAACAATAAACAACGTTTGCATACTAAGAATTTTTTATATCAATATTATTTTTACAAATGAGCTTAGTTTGAAATTCTGAAAAGATAATATTCCCTTTAATGGGGGAAATGGCTCTTCAAAACAAATGAAATATAGCTGCGCACGAACACAATGTTATCACATTCTTCCATGTTGTCCGATGCCCCGTTTTTCAGATATCTGCATTTTGGAATCTACAACAATGCATCTACCATGAAAAAGCGATGGAGAATATATAAACGTGCGAGCAGAGAGTCAAATAATTGTTCACAGAATGAATGAGGATTAATTAAAAGTTTTTTTTAAAACTTTCCCTGCTGTTATCGATCGATAAATATTCAAGAATGAACAGTCAAGGACCTTATTTTGTTTCCATAACTCGGTATCTCTGATAACATCTAAAATCACAGTACGTTTGATTTTAGGGTGAAATATTCACATAGTTACGTTGGAGCTTTTTCAATAATTTTATTTCATTTCTTTATATTTAAAAATCAATAAAATAGGGACTTTGTAATATCTTGTCTTAGTGTGTTGAAGATGTACAATAAGCGAGAGATTTAAAATGCTTAAGAAAACGTTAAAAATATTCAACTAAAATTAACATGGTAGCAAAAAGGGAAAGTTTAAAAATCTGCTATAAAAGCTTTCAATTAAAGTTTTGAAATCAGTCAAATTTTCAATCAATTTTGAGTCAAATTTT